AATCATATAACATTTACCCATTTGCAATATCTCAATTTTGACATTTCAAAACCTGAATTTCTGATGTCCCCTTTCCTTCCCAAATTTGCTCTACCCACAGCCCTCACTTTCTCAATGGATGCAATTCCATTCTTTTAGTTGTTCAGGCTCCAAACTGTGGAGTCATTCTTGTCTCCTCTTTCTCTCACACCCATATCCTGAATAAGAACAAATCTTCTTGGCCCAACTGACTGCTTCTCAATCCTTACATTACTATTCCATTAGATATAGGAGGTCCTAGCCTCCTATATCACACCTGGCTTGTTACAGCCACCTCCAAGCAGGCTTCCCCACACCATAAAATCCATTCTCAGCCATGAAGCCAGAACAATCTTTTAAAATGCTAAGTCAGATCATGTCACTTGACTGGTCAGAGCCCTGCAAAGACTCCCCATATCACTCAGAGTAATGAAAGCAAGAGTCCTTCATTGGCAGAGAGAGCCTCACATGATCAGACCCAGACACTTGTTCCTCTCTTCTACTGAGCCCCCCGCCCCACCACTCTCTCTGCTCCAACTACTTTCTCCCCAGGCAACCTCCAAGCTCAGGGTCTCTGCATTAACCTCACTATCTGCCTGGGGCACTCTTTCCCTACATATGCACTCACCTAAGTCATTCATTGTCTCACAATGGTAAGCTTCTCAATGAGGATTATTAAGATCACCCTTCACAACATGACCACCTGCACTCCCCACACTCCTGATCCTCTTTATCCTGCAGAGTTGAGCCTAAAATAATGACTGACACATAGTAAATACTCATTAAATATAGGTTTGATAAATTGAATAAGCATATGTGGTTCTGAAGGCATTGCCAGTAACATTGTCTCTTGACCACAGTTGACTGATGCAAGGTGGGAAGAGGAAGTAATTGTGTCAATTAGAATTCATTTCTGAGATTTTTTTTTTACACATGAGAAGCTAATATAACCTAGTTCCTCTTTAAGTAGTGAAGCTATAAGGTACGAGTTATAAGAGCTATTGACTTCTGAGTCTCTTTCCATGTGAGGTTAGCCAATCTGAGAAAATAAAGCTGATAATCTGAAAAGAAATCCTCGCAGCATTTGAGCCTCTGTGTCCAGTGTCCAGCTGAGCCTCTGCTTGGCTATATTCAGATGAATCAGGAAATTCTCTTCTATCACTTGCCAACAAAGTAGACTGTCTAGTGCAGCCTTACCTTTACATGAGCCAGGACTATGAGAAGATCTGCCCAGTGAAAATCAACAGGGAGTGCTGTGACAGAATTCCGATTTCTGAGTTCAAGGCCTTATCAATCAAGTGTTGGCAAATTCTAATGCACACATATCTCCTACATTAAGTTGAATAATACCCTCCCAAATATGTCCAGCTATTATTCTCTGGTATCTGTGAATGTGTTACCTTAGACTTCCAAAGGCACATTGCAGGTCTAATTAAATTAAAGTACTTGAGATGGGAAAATTATTCTGAATTATCTGGGTGGGCTCCATGTAATCACAAGTGTCCTTAGAAGATGAAGATAGGAGGGCTGGAGAGAGAATGGAAGATGCTAAATCTTTAGCACTATCTAAAGCAGTATATCTTTTATATTGTTGACTTTGAAGGTGGAGGAAGGGACCACAAGTCAATGAATGCAGGGGTCTCTAAAATTTGGAAAAGATGAAGAAGCATATTCTTCTCTAGAGCCTCCGGAAGGTAAGCAGCTCTGCTTATACATTTTAGACTTCTGACCTCCAAATTGTAAGATAATATATTTGTATCATTTTAAGCCACTAGACTTAAGTCAAGTTTCTTTCAAAATCTCTCCATCTCATTGCTACTGGTGTGGGGTCCCCATCCTTTCTCTCCTGTACTACTTCCACAAACTTCCAATTGTTTCCTCTGCCTCCTATTTCTCCTACTAAGGGCAATTCTAAAGTCGTCATATTATATATATGATTACAGCGTGGCTCTGGTTCTCAAATGCTTATCAGAACCTTAGTATGTCAAATTAGACTCTCAACGGTCTGTCCTCCATGTGCATATCCAACCTTATCTCTAATATCTCAGCCATAAGTTCCATATAGCTTCCTGTTATGCCTCATTCTTGATTGTCTCTTGAATGTCACCCATACCTATTCTCTAGTTAAATTTCTACTCATAATTTGTTCCTCAAAATTCAAATATATTCTCCAAATAGAAGATTTTCCTGAATAGCAAATGTTGGCAAATGTGTGGGAACACTGGAACCTTCATGCATTCCTGGTGGGAATGTAAATGCTGCAGCCACTTGGGAAAATAGTTTGGCAGTTTCTTAAAAATTTAAGGATAAATTTACCATATAGCCCAGTAATTGCACTCCAAGGTGTCTTTCCAAGAGAAATGAAAATGCATGTCTACACAGAGACATGTGCACAAATGTTCACAGCAGCATTATTTATGATAACCCCAAACTGAGTATATCCAAATGTCCATCAGCTGGTTATTAGATAAGCAAAATGTGATATATACATACAATAGAATAGTATTCTTCAATTAAAAGGAACAAAATATTGATACATACTTCCACATGGATGAGACACAAAAACATATGCTAAGGAGAAGAAGCCAGATACAAAAAACCACATATTGTATGATTCCATTTATACAAAATATCTAGAAAAGGCAAATTTATACGGACAGAAAGTGACAAGTGGTTTCCTAGGTAGGAGTGGGCATTAACTGTAATTGGTCACAGGGGAAATTTGAGGTATAGACATATTCCAAAACTGGATTGCGATAATGGTCACATAAATCTATAAATTTACAAAAATCATTGAATTTACATTATCAATGGGTCAATTACACGTATGTAAATTACACGTTAGTAAAAAAGTTAAAAAATAAATGTATAAAGAGATTTTCCTGGAATTACTCAAGGTGAGTTGAGAACTTTCACCTTTGTTTTCCACAGAATCTGTTACACACCGATTATATTATGCTCACCACTCTGTATAGCAATCAATGGCATCTCTCTGGTCCCCTCCTCAATTTGTCCATGGTAGACAATAAAAGCATATTGCATTAAACTTAGTGAAATCAAAGTGAATTGAAGCCACATCAATTAGGTCTTTCATCTTAACAAATTATAATTTTTGAGCAATTTTTCAGTTTTTATATGTCTCCAATAATTACTTTCTTTTTTCTCTCTTAAAGTCTCTAAATCCATTCATGATATTGTCTTGATACACCACAGTCTTGATCACCTATGCTAATTTTGGTTCCCACAGAAGCAGACACTGAGCCAAGGATTCATGTACAAGCGCTTTATTGGAAGGAGCAATGAACATGGATGGGAGAGAGGAGTAGTGGATACAGGGAAGAAAATACATCTAATAAAGCTTGCATAGGATCAGCTACCACTATGACTGAGTAGAGTTTTCATCCTGTGGGGAAATTCTGGAAAGTGATCCAAAATGAAAAGCTCAGAATTGTCTCAACAAAAGCATGAAAGACATAGCAACTGCACACTCATCCTCAAAGGCTGTCTCTGATGGGACATAATTCTCTGTCACTTATAGGACCACATGTTGGGCAAAGTAGGTTCCAGTTGGTGCTGGCCAGTGGCAGTGGAGATGGTGAGAGGAACCCAGGCAATGTGAGAGGAATGCTGACAGCGTCTATGACTCCATCCTTCCATGCAGACTCAACTCTATCAACATTCTTCTCAAAAAGCAAGCTAAATTCTGAACACTTTCTGCACATGTGTAACTATGATTCCTGTGTTACCTCCAGAGAGTGTCAGAAAAAAAAAATTAAATCATGTAAAAGAAAACCTGATTCAAGTGTATTCATTACTACATATTTTAGGATTTTGGAAGGTGTAATTCAAAATTGCAATCGCGGGAAACAAACATCAAATAAAAAAAGGAAAAGGAGGGTAGGAAGGAAGGAAGAAAAGAGTGAAGGTAAGAAGTAATAATGAATGTAAAAGAAGGCAGGGAAAAGGTAGGAATAAAGAAGGAAGGAAGAAAGGAGGGACGGAAGGAAGCATGGATGGAAGGAAGGAAGGAAAGAAAAAAAGATAGAAGGAAGAATGGAAGGAAGTATCACAAAGAATGAAGCAACATCTCTGAGTTATTCTAGGTGGTATATTACTATGAATCATCTGAAAAAAACAGCTTTCAAATCTACTTTCCTGCTTTGAAATTGAAAATGACATCACTGTTTTCCTAAAAAGTAGGATAGCAAAGTCAGTGTCAGCTAGCCAGGTCATAGTCCAATTCAATCTCAGTTTCTTCTTTTGAAAAGTGGGGTGAATGAGAGAAAATACCTCAGAGAAACATTTTCAAGATGAAGTGAAGTCATACATGTGAAGAAACAAGCACAGTCCTGATGTGGTAAGCATTTGTTGTGGTGACTGTATCATTTTCAGTCCATTTCTTCTGGAGAAACAAGTTCATGATCAAACTAAGATGAAGAATGTCAACATTTGAAAGGATAATTTTGGGGGTACCTTGACAGCACTTAATATGATAAGCGGTTTAAATCTCAAGTAAGAAATCTTAAGAATTTCTCAAGAAAGCTAACCAAACATGGAATTTGCTGCAGCATATAAGCAATAAAAATCTAAAACGAATTACTGAGGAGGTTTTTGAGGACAAACTACTACAGACAAATAAAAGTGAAGACATGGAAGTTTTGGGAATTGATGAAATCAAGCATGTGTTTTAGGAGAGTGAAAGAACCAGGGGATTTAAATTCACAAAACTTACCTTTGGGTCCAACAATCTCCACTTTGTTCTAAGGCCCGTAACCAATAATGGAGAAGAGTCTGCTCAGCTGAGGAGACTTCCCAGGGCCCTCTTCACATCCTTGTTCCTCAGGCTGTAGATGAAGGGGTTCAGCATGGGGGTGACCACAGTGTACATCACTGAGGCGATCGAGCTTCTGTGGGAAGAATGGATCACAGCAGAACTGAGGTAGACTCCTAGGCCTGTCCCATAGAACAAGGAGACCACAGAAAGATGAGACCCACAGGTGGAAAATACTTTATATTTTCCTCCTGCAGAGGAAATTTTCATTATAGAGGAGAAAATCTGAGAGTAAGAGAAAAGGATTCCAATGAAAGGAAAGACAACCACCACAGCAGTTGTCACATACATGATGATGTTATTGAGGAAGGTGTCAGAGCAGGCCACCTTGAGAACCTGACCCAGTTCACGGAAGAAATGTGGAATTTCAGTGCCTATACAGAGGGTCAGCCACCTCAATAGTAGAATAGGAAGAATGGAGACCCAGAAAATGATGAACAAAGGCATCAGAACCAGGAGGACACAGAGGTGTGGGTTCATGGTGACCATGTAGTGCAGCAGGTGGCAGATGGCCACAAACCGGTCATAGGCTATCACAGTCAGGACGAAATTGTCCATTCCATGAAAAATCATTAAAAAATACACCTGAATGAGGCATCCTATGTAGGTGATGTCTTTACTCTGTGCCTCAATGTTCACTAGCATCTTTGGGATGGTGGTGGAGATGAAGCAGATGTCCACAAAGGACAGGTTGGAGAGGAAGAAGGACATGGGGGTGTGGAGCTGGGAGTCAGAGCTGATGGCCAGAATGATGAGTAGGTTCCAAACCACAGTGACCAGGTACATTGAGAAGAACACTGCAAACAGCAGGGGCTGCAGTTCAGGATCCTCTGAGAGACCCAGGAGGAGGAATTCTGAGACTTGGGTGTGATTTCCAGCTTCCATGTGGCTTGTGTGTATGAAGGCAAAAGCAAAGTTCAATGAACATCGAACTGGCACCTCAGTTAGTCGGCACCACTTGATTCCACCTTAAGGTGGAAAAACTTCACTTTCCGTTGAGTCTTTCCAATGACAGTGATTCACTAAGTCAAGTTGTAGCCCAGTTCCATTTCAAATGTAATTATTTAGCCTTCTTAAAATTAAAATTTTCATTTCCTATTCACTGATTCAAATCATATTTGAGGCTATTGGCATAAATCAAATTCTTCTATGACATGACCCTTCCAATATAATTGAAGACATTAAAAGCATTTTCTTTAATAAGCTCCATACTTCCTTCATTCTAATGCCTTGTGCTGGTTATTAAAATATGGATTCTATCTCAAACAATCTTAATTCTATGAGTTGATGCTTCCTATTGATGTTACAGTTAACACTAAAGTGCTTTATTTATTTTATTTCCAAAAATGTGGATACTACCATTACTTTATTTGAGGCTTAGAAATGCCTTTGTCTACAGTAAGATCTCAATAAATGATAGCTATTATTATCGGTATTAGTATGTTGCTTTTAAGACCATTATTTTTGATAATCGCTTTTGATATTTTTGATAACTCTCCCAAAGCACAATATAGAGATGTGGCTTAGAAAATGGGATCTGGAGTCAGACTTCCTAGAATGGAATTTTGCTCCACCAACTTACTATTTGTGTGGCTTCGACAAAGTTATTTAATCTCTCTGAGCTGCAGAGACCTCATCTCTACAATGGGAGCAGTAAATATTCCCTGTGTTGTAAGACTGATAAGTGAATTAAATGAGATGATGCAAGTACTTTATCCTGCGTGGTTCCTGTGACATACAGTGGACACTTGATAAATGTGAGCTTCTGTTCTTCATGTTACAATAAATCTGTCTTGAATGGCTATCATTTACCAAATTTCCTTTATACTAGGGCAGCCATTAGGATGGAATTCTGTTCATTATAAACACCACAGGTCTGTTACCCCCTTTGACCACCATGCAGCACCTCTAACGAATGAAGATCCCTATGGATCCCTCTTTCAGAGACTGCCTGCCACGTGGATGCTTCCAAGAAGAGAGAAAAGCATGTGAACTACATAGATAAGAAAAGGGGGAAAATCACAAAATCATTAAAATAAAATCCAAGGCATGTTGGAGAGTGTGTGCTCATGTGTTCATGCTCAGACGTAGGGATGTATTATATTAACTATCAGTTAGTTAATGGTAAAACAGTGATAGAACTGATGAAAAATATACGTTTGTATTAATAAAATCATCCTTAAGAAATTAAAAGGCAAATTAAGATGTGACTCAACGTTTATATTTTCCATGATAGAAAACATGTGTCATTTTTTTCCTTTTTATTTATTTATTTATTTTTATTGCTGTAACATTGATTTATAACTTTGTATAAATTTCAGGTGTACATCATTATACTTTCATTTCTGCATAGATTACATCATGTTGTCATGTTCACCACCGAAATAATAATTACAATCTATCACCACACACATGTGCCTAATTATCCCTTTCTCCCTCCACCCTACCCTCTTCACCTCTGGTAATCACCTATGAAAAATTTGTCATTATTAATGCTGAGAGAATGCTGTTTATTAGAGAGAGAAAAAAATCATTAAGGAACACTTTAGTTTGGGGAGGTGGGCAGAAATGGCTTCTCTAAAATATGAATGGTGGAGCTGTGAGATGAAGGATGAGCAATTGTTAACCAGGGGAAATAAGGAATGGGCGAGCATTTTGGGGTGAGAGAACAGCATTCATGGTTACCCTGTGGATCGGTGAGCCTGGAAATGGAAGGGGTTTGAAATGCCAGAGATGGAGAACAGAGAGTGAGGGTCAGGAGGTCAGAGTGGGTAAGCCCACAAGTCCAGCGCCCTGTACTATTCCTTGATGTGCCTCTCACATTCGGAGTTTTATGTTTATTTGTGGGTCAGAGGTTGTGACTGTTTTTGCTCACCATCATCTTTCCAGGGACTTACACAGTATCCAGCACATAGTAGGTGCTCAACACATGCAAACGTTAGATGCATAATAAAGATTTAGACAAAAGCATCAACTATGACACAAAAAAGAAATCTTCAAGCTTATATATGCCTGAATAAAGACACTAAATTGAATAGCAAAATGAATTCAAATATATTCATATCTAATTTAAGAGAATAATACATAATGAATAAGTAATATCTATTCTATGAATGGAATGCTGGTTTAAAACTGTGATGTTTGCTAACATAATTCATCACAAAAATAGGTCAATGAAGAGAAATCATAACCTTAATCACAATGGAAAATGCATTTGAGTAAACGTAACAGCCATTACTGTGGTTAGCAGCCTGGACAGAGTCTCTTGCCAAATGAGGAAACTAAAGATAGTTTCTTCACTCAGTAAAAAATGGTTGTTTTACAACTACAGACAACAGGATATTCTACATTAAAACACTAAAATATTTGTGTTAAATTCATGAACAGATCAAGGCAGTCTGTTCCAAATTCAATCACTCAATAGTCACCTGAACACTGAAAGAGATTTGTAAGATGAGAAAAGGAAATTGTGCTGAGTACTGAATGTCAGAAATAATTGTCTTATTTGTCAATGATATTGTGGACACTAAAGTGGAACAACAAAAACAATCAATACAGAACAATTAAGTGCTCTCAGGAAGTCGAGTCTGCTGCAAAAGTAGTTAGGGAATATAATAGAAAAATACAATCAAGGAGGAATAAAATAGACAATACCTGGGGCACAATAGATCTCCAGTGAGTAGCTAGTGAGTAAATGATTGGACACAGGAAATCCAACAGGAGCCTATGACTATGGGAAATAGTAGAGAAGAGGTGGAGACTCTTCAGGAATTAACTCTTATCTGTAACGAGCTCTAGATTCCAAAATGAATGAGAAGGAAACAGAACAAGACCTGGGAAAGCCTGGTTTCAGTAGAAATTAAAGTATCTTCACTGTAGAGAGACTTCGCCTTTAGGGACTAATTAAATATGGGACTGTCCCAGCCTCATTACTCTAGAGGGAAAGCCCAGTACCCACTTTCAATCCTCTTTTACTTACTCCACCAGCCCTCGCTGGGACACACTGACTCTCTCTGATGGTTATCACTGAAGCATTCTGTACTCTGAGGTCTGCCCCCAGGAATCCCAACTGGGTTTTCACTAGGCAGGGATCAGAGAATTATAGGACAAGGGCAACAGGGACATGTTATTATTGTCTCAAAGACTGAATTCTCAGACCTCCTCATTAAATAAATTGGTCTACTGACTTTCCTCTTTCTAACAATTCAGCTTCCTTAAGGTATAAAGATAAAATAATGCAAAAATTTCAGCCCACTTTGTGTCTGTGTAGGCAACAGTGGGGGAAGAAGAAAGTATTTTCTCCATGGAGAAATTCTTCTTTCTTTGGTTTGACTTAAAAGTGACAAGGTGTCCCATAGGGAATATTTAATTTCCATAAGAACCAAACCCAGGAACCAACTTTCTGTGATGTTCTTCCTTTGAAGAATCTTCAGAGATTTTATGGATTACTTGGTATCCATAGTGTCATGGAGGCCAAGAAGTCCTTTCTGAAGAAAAGCAGAGTGGTTAATAGTTTTCATTTTGTTGAAAAAGACTAATCAAATGAGGACAGAAAATATCCCATGATGTTTGCTGTTGACATGGAAGCCTTTGTTGATATTAGGGAAGGCTCCATTTAATACCTCTTAGTAGAGAGGGAGGGGCAGAAATAAGCCAGGTAGGGTGGGTTGAAGAGTGAGTATTGAAGGAACATAGTGGTAAATATAAATCATATGTAAAGTTTGTCAAAGAGGAATACAGAGGTAAAACATAGCCTAAAGGGAGTATGGAGTATAAGAGCGAGAAAATAATAATTTAAATTAAGCTATAGGGACACATTTAATTCAAAGAGAGTGATCCTATTTCATGCAGACATTTGAATACACAGGAAATGCTGACTACACAATTCACAGGATGCAGTATACACTCTAAATCAAAGACAATCATAATGTGATGTATCTCCAGTTTAGGGAATACATGAGTCCAGAAATCAAAAGTTGGAAGTAGAAGCAGCCTGGTCTAACAGCACTGCCAGTGAACTACCTGGGGAGTTCGTGCCCCAGTTCTCCACACTTCTAGCCTCTGCAGGTTTAGAGCTCTTGCTTCCTAAAGGGAAAACACTTCCAGGGACATAGAAAAAGTCCCATTAAACTTCAAGCTATAGGGCGGCCTGGCACTTCAGATCTTGCATGCCAAGAAGAGGAGTCACTGTCCTGACAAAGATAATTCACCTGCTCATCCATGTCATTGTGTGACCATGGCAATGGGCATGAACTGGTACCTGTTGTGCTCAGTCAGTGACTGGGAGAAGCCCAGGAGCAACCTCAATGCAAACACAGTGGTGGATGCAGATGGCTGTCAGTCAGTTATGCTCCCACAGCAAGAGATCTGAGTGGTGTGATCTTAAGTGTGGCAGGTCTCTTTAGCTGAGTGCAATTCCCAAAGAGTGCTGTGGGCTGAGGCCTGTCAGATGGCTGCACCTCCAAACCAGGAAGAATAAGCCCTTAATCCTGAAGAAGGATCTGAGCAATGCAGCATAGCATTCACTAGAGTCCATCCCTTGGGACATGTGGAGCAACATTTTTTTAAATGAGATATAATTGATATATAATATTGCATTAGTTCTAGGTGTACAACATAATTTTACAATATTTATATGTGTTGGGAATTATCACCTCAGTAATTCTAGCTAACATCGATCACCACAGGTAGTTACAAATTCTTTCTTGTGATGAGAACATTTAAGATCAACTCCCTTGGCAACTTTCAAATATACAATACAGAATTATTAACTATAGTCACTTTTTGTACATTCCATCCCATGACATTTATTGTATGACAGGAAGTTTGTACCTTTTGACCACCTTCACCCATTCACTCCCACATCTGGCAACTACCTATCTGTT